TTTTTTTTTTTTTTGCTTTTTAGAAAATGAGCCCATAAAACCATTTTGGTTCAATTATGACACTTTCAATAAAGAGAGAAAAAAGTCCAAAATTTAACTTGTCTACTTCTTTTAAACCCAAACATCAATGGCATTAAGCCGTCGTGTTTTCTCTGTTTTTTACAAGGCCTTTCTTAAAGCACATTTTCGACTTGGCTTTTCAGCTTCTTTTGACAGTATAAAAGGTCGAATGAAGTCAATTTTTAGCCATTTTTTAAAACTTTTAAGCCAAGTAAAACATGCTCCTTAATGACTAAACCCAAATTAACTCATTGAGTTGGTTTGGTCCACTAGGTACACACCAAACTATTACAAGGTCAAAGGTGTGTGATGGGCATGTTCTAGGTGGTCTTGTATCCTACTATTCACTTAGATACTACTAGCACATAAATTTCTTGATGCAAAATTCAGTTTTTCTAATTCACCAAGAACTTCAATTCAAAGTTCAAATCATCATCTTCGATTCTGGTTCTTTTTTTCAGTGACATATTTCATAAAGACTTGAAGAAGTTCTCATTCATGAAGTCGACTCTGTGTTTTTCCGAATTTTACACTCTCTTAATCGAAGGTTATTGAGACCCTATTCCTAACCACGTTGAAGTGAAAATTGGTTGCTATTTCTAACTTGACAGCTAGAAAACATTGAAGTACACATTATTAATGTTGAAAAATCTTCCATTAGGATGCTTCACTTAAAAACTCTTTTACCAGTCACTTCGGATCTAGTTTGGTTCCATCAATGTCTATGGAACTGTTTGGTTGCATCGTAAAATTTTCACCGGTATGTGATTAGGTCTAGTACTCATTAGAACATGAATGGATCGAATCATATCCGTCCCTAAAATTTGTGAGAAAGCAATTCTAAATTTCTAAAGCAAATTTCCCATCTAAGCTTCCAAACTTGGCCAAGCTAAATTTTCTCCCACCGGAATTATTTTAATATATATTCGTTTGCTTTCATAATTCGTATGAAATTTGTCAATGGTGACACATGCTAGTGCTTTCACATTCGAGAGTGCACATCACCCTGGACTGCATTTATTCATAACACGATCAAATTTGCCACCTTTTATCCAAATATTTAAAGACGAGAATAAGAATTGGTTTTTAAGTGTGGGTATTTCAGGTCATGTAAACGCTCAACTGAATACGACTTGATAGGATTAAAGAAAATATGAACCTGACAATTTTGTTTTTTTTGTCTTTTGTCTACTGACCATTTATATCGTCATCCTTTGAATTTATTTTCTACCGACGTCGAGTTTCTCGATGAAAACAAAATCCCGGAATGATGGTTTAATGCCTCTTTACAAGTTCAAAAAAATATAAGAAAAAAGACTGAAACCTGAAAAACAGTAATGATCATAAATGTGTGCAAAAAATCCTGAGACAATGGAAACACATTGAACCAGTTGAGATGTAATCCAGTGTACTATGCATTTACAAGCCACTCCCTTGTGTCTCCTTCAGACCCCATCTACTTAATTCGCAGCTCGCTCATTTAAATCAATTTGAAAATGACACATCAACAAGAAATTATATTAATCAATTACCGTTGAACTTTCTGCATTTGTGAATCATTTATTGATGATGCAATTCAAGAACAATGTGATTTTTAATGTAATAGTAGTTAAAAGTTAATTTCACTTTTATTTAGATCTTAAAAGGAACTGGTATCCATTTAAATTGACCCGAAAAATCGTTCACAGTGCATTGCAAGGAGAGTTTGATGGCATAAACAATATTTCACAAATATTAGTAATATATTAGAGTTTCAATAGGGATGACAAAAGAAAAAAACCGACAAACCTGATACCCGCGAGATCCCGCCCCGAACAGGGCTGGAATTACCTGCTTAATCGGGTATTAGAGTTGGGGACGGGGCATGTAACTTTGCCCCGAGGTGGGTAACTTAATTTTTTTTTATTTTTTATTTTTAGAATTCAAAACTTTAAATGAAAAATTTCATGAAATTTCATTAGTTTTAATTGAAAATAACAATTAAGATTATCTAAAAAATATAAC